CCCTAAACCCTAAACCCTAGACGTGGGTCTTGTAAAAAGCAGGGCCAGGGCCGAGGGCCGGGACAGGCAGACAGAAGCAGAGTTGCGTGCAGCGGCGGTGCATGTAGGGGCCGATGTTATATGGGAGTTTCCGAAAATAGGGGGGGACCTTATTTTGGGGTCCTTATAATAAGGATCCTACTATTTAGGGTACTATATTAGGGTCCCCTATTTTCGGAAACCCCCATATAGGAATGAGAAGCTACTACGCATTCGATTGGGTCGCATCTTCTACTCATTCTGCCCTTTACCTCAACCCTAATAGCCCGAAAAGCTTTTAAGTTTTAACTGACTACCCTAAGCCCTAAACCCTGTTCTTGCGACGAGCACTGACCATGGCAACTTACCAGGATCCCTCGTTGGAGTGGGCCAACTATGAGTTCGACCGCTCTGCCTACGAATTGCAACGTCCGGAGGTTGCTTTCCGCAGATTCCAATGCCTGGTTCCGGGTTTTTGTTATGATGAGGCATAGCTAGTATAAGACCCCCGTGACTCCTGAGGATGCCCCCGCTTCTTGTCAGGGATCTCTATAGAGATCTAGCAGAAGAGTTCTGATATCATCCCTGATTGTTGATCCAATGTGCGCGCAGCACATGTATGGGAAGTGGCTTTGCTGCATACTTCTTAGTCTTGAAAGCTGATAGGACAGGATTTCCAGTGTGAGCATCCAGACCAACTTCCTTGACAACAAAGTGCAACACAGCTTCGGCTTGCTTTCTCATCCATATCGAGCCTTACCGAAACAATAAGTAGCGGCATACTACGTAGTTTAATTATGCTAGCGATGGTTTCACACGTTGTTGTCGTGGGAATCAGATGATGCCCTGTGCCGGCGATGTGAGGACTATGTTGGCAAGTTCTGCAGCAATTCAGCAGAAGTGAGGGTAAATTGTCGCGAGCTGCAATATGGCGATTTGACTTAAGAATTATGAGCCGTGACAGGAAGATGGCTCTTCTGGTTAACATCTTGTACATCCTTATTCGTGTTTACGTGTTCGTGATCAGTTAGCCAGTGGTTTAGCACCATCCGCAACATCAGAAGCCGCATCCTCCTCCGACCTGTTGAGGCTGTGAGGGAGCTTCTGACCCAGGAGGCAAGCTCGACTCCCTGACTGCATGCCAGAAAACCCAGATACCCCTTGTAACGCAGGAGTAGCTCGCCTGATATATTGAGGATATATATATATATAGACATATATGCACTATATACTGTTGGTATACGTACATACAAAATGCACTATGTGTAATATCGTTTGAGCAATATTCCTGGACCAAGGGGTCTGGGCCTGTGGGTATTCAACCGAGAAGCGGACGAAAGGGTCCAATCGGAGCTTTCTGTCCGACCAGCACGCCGAAGATCGGCCAAGAGCGTGACGACATGTCCCAAAAGAGTTTTGGTTTCGGGTTTAGGGTTGCATTCTTTGACTTGGCCGGTCTGTCGTAGATCACTTCTACCACTATCGTTGTTCCTGCGGTGGCTCCACAAACACCACCTTGCAACTTGCAAGCGCTCCCAAGCATGATCTGCACCCGCTGCGAAACGGCACAGGGTGCAGACTCGGTCTGGTGTTACGGTCTTGACTTTGCAGGGTTTGGAGATGAGTGTCTTGGTTTCGGACTTTAGGGTGTGGGGCTTCTGAAGCCGACGACCTACACCCCAAAGCTATCCTACCATGCTCGACCCATTTGTGGATGTCGATGTGATTCTTGCGAAGTTGGGCCAAGTGCTGGGATGATTTGGGACTGCCCAACATGTTGCTGCCCGTTCATCGTTCTGTCGGTGATGCAAATAACTCGTCCAGAACTGTTCTCACATAGCTTAGTGGGACTCCTGTATGTCTGACAATTCGCTAACCCGTAGGCCATGTGGCATTTGTGCGCAGGGCTGGTATACCCTAAACCAAACCATCCTAAAACACTACACTCTAAGCCTCGAAAGCCCACAAATTTAAGTCCCAACTCCCCGGATGAAGACCAGGCTCTAGCGTGCTGGGAGCGTTGCCGAATTAGCTTGCTTGCATGCGCTGCCCTTTACTTTGGGGCCGTGGCTGCTGGTTTTTGTTCGGCCTCCATAGCTGTAGGGGAATGAGGCATGAGGGTTTGCCCGTTTAGGGTTTATCAAAGGCAAGAGTGAGGGTCTAGAGCTTAAGGTTAAGACTTTGTCAGCGGCGCCTAAACGCCAGGAGGGTTTTGTTTCGAGTCACCCGGCTTTGTCTAGCTGAGCCAAGCTCGGGACTATAACATCAACCAAGGGAGTGGCAACCAAAACGACGATACGAGTAACCACGGTAAGAGGCTTGCAAATAGGAAATCATGAAAGTCACGGCGAACGTGGCAAGAACGCCAGCGATAATCGAGACACATTCACAGGAACAACAACCCCCAGGTACCTACTATATAGGGTACTAGAGCCCCTAGGGCCCTATATAGTAGGTACCTGGGAGGTTAGGGACCTATGTGTGGCCGAACCTGTGCCAGCCCGCGGCCGCAGATTTGTTTGGCCGTTTTTGGCGAGAACTCGCCCAGTGATTTGAGCCTATCACAGTGTTGTGGCCTTTACAGTCGGCGTGATTACGGTGATGATTCTCTTGTGCTCTGGTGTTAAGTACGATTACTCGATGTGGTACCAGTCGTGCAACATGATACCGCTATGTTCGTTATCTTTAGTGCTCGACTTTGATTTAGGACTCGAAGACGTCGTGCTCAAAAGAGCACGTGCCTTCGAGCGTAGCTGCCCGGAGTGAAGGGCAGCCTCAGGCTCCCTGTCGCCAAAAAAGAGTTTCAAGGAAGTCGCCCTAACTTTGTAAAGTAACTTCTCGCGCTCTGTGTCTGTCTCTCCTGCTCGCTCGTGCTGCCTTCAATGTATCTATGCGTACATGCGCATACGCATGTGCGTATACACAGATATGTACAGAATTCATAATGTACAACTACCTATATCCATACATGCATATACACGCGTGCACAGCGCATGCACCTGGACGAATCATGCACCTGGTCATGCATACAAGAGGAAATAGGTAGCATGTGCAACAGACATAGGCTGAATCCCAAACCTGACACCCTTAGCCCCTACACCCTGAACCCCGAAACCCTGAACCCGCAAGCCCTAAACCTTAAACCCCTAATCCCTAGACTTTGAACCCCTATACCTACACCAATGTAAACATATTCTTTCTTCGCCACCTGTCTTGCCAAAATCCGATTTCGACGGAGAGCCAGCTATCTAGTTTTGTCGGGGGGGGGGGGGGGGGGGNNGGCATGGCTTCGAGATGAGGGACCTAATATAGGCCCCAAATGGCAGGATCCTGATGAACCTTGAGCCTTCAAAAAGGTGCCCCAAACCCGCGCTCCAAGATTTGCGGATCCGTCCCTCCTCCGCAGGGGTATCCTCACAGGCTACCCACAAGGCGCAGGGGGTGGCGGGGGGGGCGGAGGATTTTGAACCGGGGTGCCTCGAGAAGAGAGCTCAAAACCCCTTGCTTGCCGAATCTACCTTGAATATAAGGGGCCTTCATATTACGCGTTTAGGTATACCGCTCAATCAAGGGGTATTGGGCTCTTTGGGAAGCATGTTGCCGCAACATCTGCGCCTCGACTGCATTCGGGAAGGTAGTTAGCAAGCCTGCCGGAGAGCCTGCTAATCATGATACCACAGTGCAGATGAAGAGTTTAATAGGGTTTAGCATGGGGTTGAGGGATGACGAAGAAAGAGGCTCTTGGCCGCTGGACGTTGAGCCAGTACAGCCCTGCCAGCCAGGGCAGAAACCTAAACTCTAAACCCTAAACCCCAAAACCCTAAACCCTAAACCCTAAGCCCTAAACCCTAAACCTTGTATTGTAGGCCTTAAGACCGACCCTAGAGCTTACCCCGTAAGCCATCCTAAGCCGTAAGTGCCCCTACGCCCTAACTCCGGAACCCTACCTAAACCCCAGAGCCCCCAAAAACCCTAGATGCCCTAGATCAAAGCCCCAAAACCCTAGATGTCCCCGATCAAAGCCCCAAAACCCAAGCTGCCCTAGATCCTCAACCCTAAACCCTAAACCCTAAACCCTAAACCCCAAAACCCTAAACCCTAAAAGCCCTAAACCCTAAAAGCCCTAAACTGAGTGGCAGGCCTGAACTTCCTGGCCGGCATGGGCCTCCTGGCTCTATCTTCCGGCTCTCTGCCAACACAGAGGGCCCGGGTCCCGCCCTGTTGGTTTAGGGGCTTAGGGGTTTAGGGGGGCTTAGGGTTCGGGGTGTAGGGTTTAGGGTTTGGGGTTTTGGTTTATAGGGTTTAGGGGTTTGGGGTTTAGGATTTGGGGTTTAAGGTTTGGGGTTTAGGGTTTGCGGTTTAGGGTTTGGGGGGGTTTGGGAGTTGGCTTTTTTGTGGCGTTTGGGTGTGTGAGGTCTTGGGGCTGCAAGGCTAGGAGTTTAGAGGGTAGACATCGGGCTTAGCGCTTATTGTCGAAGGTTCTGGCGGAGGTTAGGGTCCTAGTATTTCGTAGGCAGGAGTTTGGGATATCTTCAGCCCGTAGTGGCTTTGCGGGCTCTGCCTCAGTTTTGACTGGCTACGATGGCATAAGAGTGGTGTGCTCCTCTGTGTGGGATTGTAACGGGTCGCGGTGCATTTCGCGGAAACGACCCTCTGTCACCGCGCGAACTCAGACCCCGAAACCAAATCGCATAAGCCCTTACAGCAACAACGCATAGACCCTGCAACCCCAAGCTTAAACCCTTCAAAACCCTGTAGCAGGTTGTCAAATTATCATACAGCCTCTTCAAAGAGCTTATGAAACCCCTAAACCCTAAACCCTAAGCCCTAAACCCTAACTAAACCCTAACTCTATGAACCTCAATCCCATACCGCAGCATTCTGCCAGGTCAAACTCGAGGAGGACACCTTCTGGCTGCTATCGCACCTGCTGGAGGCGCGTCTTTAGGGGAAGCGTGGCTTTAGGGTACTTGTTGGAGTTTTCGTTGAGTCTCCTTTATAAAGCTTGTAATTGTGAGGGTTTTGTAGGAGTGTAGCCAGTCTGATATAAGGCGTTACAAGTTTCAGAAGGGCTTCAGGTTCTTTGGGGGTTTGACGGTTTTACTGGGTGGAGGTCTTTGGATTTGGAGGTTCAGGCCGTTTGGGCTTCAGGGTGTTCGGGTACAAGATCTTGGGGTGTGAGGTTTTGGGCCAGGTCGCAGAGCGCAGCTAGGCTAGGGGGCTTGGTAGGTAAGCGGCGGGTCTATCTGCACACTACAAGCCCGACGAATGAGCCAACGACGTTCGTGCCTCTGCATGTTGGATGCCTGCAGTGATGGTTTAGGTTTCGAGACTTTATCGCAGGCACTCTTGTCGGGATCCCAAAGGGGGGAATCTAATTGGGAGAAGTACCCGGTACTGCTTGTGAGGATGTGCTGGACCCGGACTTCTTTGGCGCCGATGTAGGCATCTCAGAGGAGCTGCTACTTCACGTGCGCAGTGCCGGGATCTATGTGGGGACTACATAGGATGTCAATCGAAAAGTCTTAAGAAGAATTAGGGTGCCTTCGCGGGTAGACCCTCGTGCTTCCTGCCACTTAAGCCTTAAACCCTGAGCAGGCTGTTCGATGAGGAGTTTGATAAATCGGCTTTCCCACTACTGGAAAAGTCGGGTGGGGTAGACCGCCCTGTACCTCGTGCATGAGACTGGTGAAACAGCACTCGAGGGCCCGGCTGCCACCCCGATAAGCTTCAAGCACACAGCCCGGAGCCATCCTGAGCCCTAAGGCCCCTAAAACGAAGCCCCAAAATCCTAAATGCCACCCACCCACCCACCCACCCACCCACCCACCCACCCACCCACCCACTCACCCACCCCAAAGCCGGACCCTGAGCTGAAGCCGTAGAATCCTAAATGCCCTAAGCACCCCAAGGCCCCCGACTTTGGAGCCTAAGGTCAGGGGAAATCTGAAGATGGTGCACATTGGCGGCCTGGGAATGAGGCCTCGGCTTGAAGATCATCCGTCAAAGGCCATAGGCGCAGGCTCCCTTCAAGGGCTCTGGAAGTCTATAGGTGTTTAGTACAGGTGCCTAAAGACGTGGTGGGGTACAATGAACTTATACCGAAAGGTATTCCTTTGGGTTCCTAAACATAATGATAGGATAGTATGACCCCCAATCCAAGTCATACGATACCAGTTAGAAGATAAGGAGCCCTAGGGAATAATATTGTTAGTTATTTAGGCCTCTATGTTCGACCCCTCAGCCCGAAACCCTCGGCTGAGACCCCAAACCCCCAAGCCTTAACTCTCAACTCAGAGATCCGAAAACCGCAAACCTTAAGCCCACCACCTACAGCTTAACGAAACCAAGAGCATCCAAGTGCCAGGTCTTTCATCCTAGAGAAGGCCAAGGTGGCCCGGAGCGTTCGAAGAGCTTTCGGCTTTTGGATTTTGGTGGTTTAGCATTCTAAACCCTAAACCGTAAACCCTAAATCCTAAACCCTAAACTAGCATTCGGTGTTGTGTCGAGTTTAGGTTTAACGGATACAAAGCTTACGATTCAGGGTTTGGGAGTTCAGGGTCGGGGGGTTCGAGTTTGGGATTCGGGGTTCGGGATTAAGGGGCTGGGAGTTCAGGGTTGAGGATTTCGGCAATTTTAGGGTTAGGATTCAATTATCCATCTTTGCGTGGCTTGGGATCGAGGATTAACGACACTTCCCGGGATGATTGCGTGAGGATCTTGAGTTTCTGCGAGGCCTGGCGCCGAAGAGAACGTACTACGGTGTAGCAGCATGTTGTGATTTCGAACAGTATCATTATAATGTTACTCTGGTCCTTGAGTACAGCGACTTTGATGTGATTCTGGCGGTGATTTGGCTCGCGATGACTATTCCTGTTTGTATTGTAGCATTATGGTGCAAGTTGTCCCGACTGCTGCCGACAAAGACGTCCATTGTCTATCTCCTCTCTCTTCTTGACTGGAGGTCTACTGTCCCAAGATCTTCCAAGCGTTGGGCGAAGAGGTGCCTCGACCGAAAGATCGAGGATGAATAACAACTCTCTGTGCCTGCTGCTCGTGGATGTCCTCAAGCTAATATCAACGTTCCTGTTCAGATGTATGCCATGTGACCCTGGCCCTAGACAAAAAACTCCGATGGAGTCTGGGATGTGACATTGTTAGGGCTCAACTAAGGGTACCTTCTAGGCTTCCCTGCGGGAGCCGTAAACTGCTCCAGCCAAGAATAAATTTACGGATGATCTCAAGACGCTTCGCGACAGGGGAGATTTGCTGGCTGCCAGTTTTTCGGGCCGCGCTTAGGGTCTTCGCACAACCTGTGTGCTGAGCAGTGCATGGGAGGTGTAAACAGAATACATGCATTTCACAGCGTGCGGGACCCGAAAGTCATATCCCGGAAGCGCCGGAGGATAACACCTGGCTCCGACACCTTAAACCCGAAAAAGCCCGAAGTGCTTTATCCGAAACTTCTAAGCCTAGAACTTCCTACGAGACCCTTCTAACCCCTTCAATAAACCCCCAAACGCCCCCTTAAAAAAAAAAAAAAAACATTGCATACCCCATCATGAAGCCCAGACTCTTGAAGCCCTCAGACGGCAGGCTTGCTCGAGCTGCTTAGGCTCGCTTCTCGACAGTTGGGCACGGGCCCTGGTCCAGCCCAAAAACTTTTTATTAAGGGACAGAATCCGGTGGTTTTAGGGTTTGGGGCTTGGTGTCTAGGGCTTGGGGTCCAGAGTATGGGGTTTTCATCGGCTTGAAGCTTAAAGTTTGAGGTTTAGGGTACAGGGGTTTAGGGTTAAAATTTCGGGTTTGGGGCTTAGAGTTTACGATTTGAGTCCCGGGCCTTCACCGTTAGTTGGGGAGTCTAGCATACTGTAAATTATGGAGGTGTCCTTGATCTGATCCAGTGTATATGCAGGATTATGGGGCTCCCTTGCAGGTGGGGTTCTTCTGAATCTTGGGTTCCCTTCCAGCCGTTTAAGCTACGCATTTTAACGACATTTCTAAATCGCATTCTTGACAAAGCGCTCTCAGCAGCGACTCTCTTGTGGGCCTTAGGTTTGATGTCTAGGTTTGGGATTTACGGTCAGGGTCCGGCGCGTTGGGGTGTCCAGGGATCGCGGCATCACGATCTTCTTTGGAGGTTCGTTTGACAAGGGCAGCCAGCGGAAGTGCAGTTTACGGCAGCTTTGGGCTGGAAACATGTTGTTTGGTAGGGTTTGTTGGGCTTCAGGGTTTTGGTGCGCCCACAGTCCGTGACCTCTTTTTTTGCAGAAGAGCCCAAAACTTGCTGTTGAGGTGCTGGCTCTGTTTGTGGGCTGTGCTCCTCATCGTCTCCTAGAGCACCTGTGGGACACCTTTGCTGTGCTGGGATTTTGTCGGGATGACAAGGTCTAGAGGGTTTGGGATGACCCGGTTTAGGTTAAGCATTGCGGTTCTCGTGTTGTGGAGCTCTGAGCCTGGGATATCTGGCGTTGATACTGACATTAAGTGCCAGCCTGATCCCATCTCTCCTGGTTCTCTTCCTAATGTTCCCTTCCCTCTGGAGTCATCCTGCCCTCCTCCCTGCATATGCAAAGCTCAGTCAGTCTTCGGGTGCTCTGGCAAGGTTTTCTGACGAGGTGAATCATGTAGCTTTTCTTATACCAGTTCTGAACTCATCGTGGCCACCCGCAGCCGAGGGCTTTGTCACAGCCTTTCAAGGACTTAAAAAGCCTGAAATCCTGAACCCTAAACCCTGACCCCGAACCCCTAAACCCCAAGCCACATACACTAAAGCCAAACCACGCTCCCTACTCTCTAGACTCTAGACCCCAATTTTCAACCCTCCAGATTGGCCCTTCTAAGCCTCCTGGTGGTTTTCTCTGAGAAACCGACATCCCATGATCTCAGATCTTGAACTCTCAGCCTTTGAGCCCCGAACTCCTCGCTGTACCAAAAGATACGTGTGTGTGTATATATATATATATGGTCGCCCCCCCCCGTTGACAGACCATGCCCTCTCAACTGAGTAGATGTGCATGGTGTGTCATCGGATGGGTGGCGATCAGCCCTCACAAACTCAATTCCAAAATTTCCAATATTCTCGCCCCTAACTTTCCGGATTTCCAAAAT